CGGCAACACAACAGTTTATCCTGTGGCAGTTGACACTTGCCTTGAACTGTGTCTAACTCAATACCTACAAACACCATGGAAGTGTTGGGTTCCATAGTCTTTTCCTGTGCAATTGGAACCCCAAGGTCAGCACACAAATCCAAAAAAGCCTGCAAATCCGAAAAACAGCGCTCCCTAGTTCGTGCTAGAAATAAGAAATCATCCAAAATGTGGATAGTTGCCTCAACACCCACAACTTTAAGCAAAAATCCACTCTAAAGCTGAACTAAAATGTTCAAAAATAAGGCATGATGGAAGACATCTATCGAAAAAGAAATGATCATCCCACCTGAAACCCAACAAACAATGGTCATGTGGAGCTACTGGAATAATTCTGAATGCTGATTTGATGTCAGTTTTAGCCAAGAAACAGCCTAGACCCAGATCCCTAATAATCTTAACTGCATCATCAATATTGGCATACTGAACAGTTGCCAACTCGGCTGGAATACCATCATTTATTGATGAGCCTGATGGACAAGATAAGTGGTGTATTAAGCGAAACTTGTTAAGTTGTTTCTTGGGCACTAGTCCTAAAGGAGAAATACGCAAATTGTTAAATGGTAGAGCTTGAAAGGGACCAGCAACCCTGCATGCCTGCACCTCAGTTTGAAGCATATCCCAAACAATATCTGGATTATTCATTGCAGATTTCAAATTAGGGGATGACCCTCCAACTCTCGGTCCTACATATTTTAAAGAAAACCCTTTTGAAAAACCATTCAACAAATACAGCACCTTCCCACATCAAAACCCGTCAGTAATCTACTCATAATGGGCACTTTTACTGGGGTTACCACTAAAGGCAGCAGTTGGGGGTTTGGAGCCAACAGGACCTCGGGGAGTATAGTGGGGGCTCTCTCTTTTTCTGGTGTTAGCTTGCTGTGGCAATCCCCCATTGATTTGACTAGTGGAAATGCGGGAACCACATTTGAAAATTGGAAGAGTTTCCCCACACTTGAAGCACTTGTGGTCGAAACGGCACTCATGTCAGAACTTTCCCCCATGAAAAATTCAACAGAACCCTTTCGGAAAGGACTGAAATGAATTAGCAAACTCCGATTTGTTAGAAGTCGAAAAGCTTCGACCAGCATTGACATTTTTCCCCAAATGTAATGCTTGTAACCATAATTCCCAGTGTGTCTGGTCCCAGGGTAGTGGGGTTGACTGCTTCAGAAAGCGAAATTGCTCATCATAAAACATCCAGCCAGCCTTTTTGGCTGCCAGTCAT